TTACTTTGTTCTTTACTTGGTTTATTAAGGATGAAAATACCTCCTCTCCGACTGGGTTTATCACCTGTGGGTGTGTTTAGCAGTTCATAAGGAAATTCCCGTTTTATTCAGAGGTCAGAGTTCAACTTGAGGTTCTGTAGATCCAGCTGGTGAATCCCCGTTAAACACAGTATATACCAAGATGACTGTTTTAGTTTCCAGATTAAACTGATAAACCACAAGTTCCTCATCTTCCTCCCTGCTGAGGATGTGTTGTGCTACATCTGCTGCTTTTCCCACAGGTCTTTTCCTCAAATTTTTGCTGTACTTTTTGTAGTTTTAGTTTCTCTTTTAGTTGTTGGACCGCTCTGCTTACAATGTCCACAAACATAATTCAGAACAATACAACCCTAAAAGACAAAAGTGGCTGTAATTCAGTCAAGTCAATTTAGTTTGCTAGTAGCTGAGAGCCAATTCAAAAAACGTAGTCCAATGCTCAGAGAATGAGCAAGATGTCGTAAAAAAATATTAGTGTAAAACTCCAAATGGGAAAGTCAGCAATGATGTCCATGTCTTTGAGGAATGCCAGGATTTTCATTTTCTGTGTTTAATCCAAACAGTCCAATCAGTCTAAAGCTTTAATATACAAATATCATACATRGACTGATGTTTAAAACATAACTTGATGTGGTAATGCTGTCCCTGATTTGTRGAAAACCAGGAGTCTCAGTAAATGTTTTTAAATGAACACACTTTTTGAAGTACTTACATACCACATAGCAGACAGCTGTGGGCCAGATCGGGCAATGCGGCACTGTTTTTATGCCACAACTGGCCCGGATGGGTTTTGTTTTTGTTTTTTTGGTGCTAACCCAAGCATGGACCACCTCTGGCAAACCACATCTGGACCACAAAAGGGCCATCATTCTTTGGGGAATCTGCGGTGAGTGCTGGTGGCTGGTGTGGACCAGAACTGGACCAGACAAATTTTGAAAAAAGTAAAATAATAAAGTGGTTTGCCAGGGGTTGTCCATGCATGGGCCAGTACCATATAAACCAAACCACAACTGGGCCAGATGAGGAAAGCCATCTTGATAACAGTGCCATCATTGTCAGACCTGGCCCACATCTGGTTGACAAACCAATTGCCATACCAGCAGTGTCAGATCTGCCCCGCTCCTGTGTGGGTTGTCAGTGATTAAATTTTAGTTTTAACAACACATGTTGCATTTTATTACATTTTTTAATCTAATTAAATGTTGACAAGATAAATTCATCAATCAGCTGACTAATTTCAAATCAACATGGGCTCAAACCTGCAGCCTCAAGATTACAAGACTGCAGCACTAACTTCAAAATACATACTGACCACAACAAATGCTCAAAAACACAATGTTTGTTTATCCGTTTATGAGGTTGTAATCTTAAATAGTCTGGGAAATTAAAATGCAAACCAAGCATAGACTTAATGAATACAACTTGGCCCACTACAGAACCAGGTCCCTTATAAATAAATATCTGATACCTTGATTTAGCTTAGTTTTCTTTTTCTCTCTCTCTATCTCTCTCTCTCTCTCAAAATGCAAAGTTCTCACAGGTGGAAAGCTTGTTTTTTTCCCCCAGCTCTATAAAAATTTTCTGAACACAAAGTGAAACATTTATTACTGAGTTCTAAATGGATTTAAATACTTTAAGACTCATAAGTCTACCAAATTATTAAAATCAGGTTGAAAATGAGCACTATACTGTATCTGATCTCAGTAAGGTGGTCTCACCTGAAGCGCTCCTGGCCCGCCGTGTCCCAGATCTGCAGCTTGATCCTCTTCCCGGGCTCGATCTCCACCAGACGGGAGAAGAAGTCCACGCCGACCGTGGGGTCGGACACCTGGGCGAAGCGGCCCTCCGTGAACCGCCGGATCAGACACGACTTGCCCACCGTGGAGTCCCCGATGACGATGAGCCGGAACTGATAGAGCCAGATGGCTTCCATGGCGCGTGCGGCTGCTTCCCCACGTGCCGGTCTGCCTGTCGGTGTGTTTGATGTTCAGGAGGCAGCGCGAGCCTGGGGGAGGGGAGAAGGACGGATAAAGTGAAAGCTGAGAACTACTGACACTGTCCTCTGGTGACAGGAAGTGCTGGATTATATTTTGCATTAAAGCTTGTAAAGGGGAGAACAAATTGTAAATCCRGTTTACACGAGAACAAGTGAGCATGAGCCAACATTCACTAATCAGTAAAAACATGGAGTCAGTGGGTTTTTTTTAATTTACTGTGTTCTGTTTGTGTTCAATAAGCAGACTTTTCTTCACTTTTTTGTTATTTAGATTATTTGTTCCTGACATGTGAGGTGGTATAAATAACGTTGCGTTTTAAAGGGTCATTTCAGATATTTTGAAGAGGGGATCTGAAGCCTACAAACAATTATATCTCACTGGTTGTATGGACCAGAATAAAGATGGACCCAAAGGCAATTTATTTTACTTGACCATATTTGATGCATATCAGATTTTAATGAAAGTCTAAGCATGACAAATATATAT